AAATGAAAAGGATTCAATACTTAATGGTGTCAAAAGAGATAATAATGGAAACATTATTAGAACTCGAGATGGTCAAAATATTAATGATAGTTACAATGTTTTAGCTTGTACTATTATCAAACATTTCCTTGGAACCCCCACAAATTTGCTACAAATTCAAAATGAGATCTTAATGAATTTAAGATGTCCAAAACTTCAAGATTTTTGATGGTATAAAGACATGTTTTTATCTCGTATTATGTTACGAGAAGACTGTCAACAATCATATTGGGAAGAAAAATTTATTTCTGGACTTCCTAAACTATTTGCTGAAAAAGTCAGAAATTCAATCCTTCAAGAAGAAAATAATCTTCAAGATCTTACCTATGGTGAAATTATCAATTTATTAATAAGACAGGATTAGATTTATGTAATGGTATGAAACTCAAAGCAAAATTGAAATTAGATAGATTTGAAAATTGTAAAGAATTAGGATCATTCTGTGAACAATATGGTTTCGAAAAAATTCTTTTTCCATCTTCAAAATTGAAAAAGAAAATTTTTCAAAAGCAAAAATCATTTTCAAAAAGAGAATTTCAAAAGAATATTCAAACCGAAAGATATTATCAAAAAGAAATTCGTCAAAAAATTCTAATGTCACCTATTGGAAATGTCAGAAAACAAGTCATTATTCAAACAAATGTCCGTTGAAAGGAAAGATTAATAACCTTCAAATTGATGAAGATATTAAATTTGAACTTCTCAATCTTATTGATTCCAGTAGTTCTAATAATAAGTCAAACCCTGAATCAAAATTAGAGTAAGTTTTTAAAAAATAAGAAGATTCTAATATAGAAACTTCTACTCAATCTTCTTCTTCAAGTGATGATAAAAAAAAAAATTGTGGTTGTAAAACTATAAATGTTTTATTTAAAGAAGAAGAAATTATTCAAGAGATTATTAATCAAATTGATGATTCAAATTTAAAGAAGAAATTTAGTTCTCTTCTTCCTTCAAGATCGAATCCTCTAGTTGAAGATGTTAATATGCAAAACATATTAAATAAATTCAAAACTGGATCCTCTTCAAAAATTTCAATTCCAGATTTAAAATTTGAAATCAAGAGTATAAAATCTCAAACTTCTGGTTTAGAAAATCAGATGAAAGAAATCAAAATGGAAGTCATCATTCTTAAAGCTAAAGACTTGAATGATGAATATTTTTCAAAATTAAATTCCAGATCAAAAACTTCCAAATACTCATCATCATCCTCAACATCTTCCAAATACTCATCATCCTCTTTTGAGTCTTCATTCAAAAATTTTCAATTTCAATCTAAAGAAGAAAATATTAATGTTATTAATCGAATTTAACTTAAAAAATGGTACTGCAATATGACTATTGTAGTCAACAAAGAATTCGAATTTACTTCCAGAGTACTTATTGATTCTGGAGTTGATCAAAATTGTATTAGGAAAGGTCTTATCCGTACAAAATATTTTGAAAAAACTACTGAACGCCTTTATGATGCAAGTAGTAAGAAACTCAATATTAATTACAAACTTTCAAAAGCTCATGTTTGTGATTTAAATATTTGCTTCAAAAATATTTTTTATCTTGTAAAAGATTTAGATCAAAAAGTTATTTTTGACATTCCTTTCATAGTCCAACTTTATCCTTTTCAAGTTGATTCAAAAGGGTTAACTACAAATATTTTTGATGAGAAAATATTTTTCAAATTTACAAATCCGCCTTCTTATAAAGATATAAATTCTTTAAAAGAAGTAGCAATTTCAAAAAATTATGAATGATATTTTCAAATTTCATTATTGATGATGTTCTTATATTATAAGAAAAACATTTCAAATATATCGATACATTCATTCATATAATCAGGAAAAATGGTCTAGCAGTCTTTGCTAAAAAAGGTTATTTTATGTCAAACAAAAATTAGATTTTTAGGTCCTAATATTCAATTTGATTCAATTATTCCAATTCAGAGAAGTCTAGATTTTACTGAAAAATTTCTGGATGAAACTTTAGACAAATCTTCTCTTCAAAAATTTTTTGGTTGTGTTAATTATGTCGACGACTTTATCAAAGAGATAAGGTTATTCCGTGCTCCTCTTTTCAAAAGATTTCAAAAGAACCCAGGCTTATGGAGTCATGAGAACACAATAGCTGTCCAAAAAGTCAAAAAGGCTATAAAAAATATTCCATGTTTATCAATTCCTGATCCTATTGCTTCAATTATTGTTGAAATTGATACCTCTAATTTAGGTTTTGGTGGAGTGTTAAAGCAAATTCTAAAAGAGTCAAGTCAATAACAGTTGGTTAGGTTCCACAGTGGCATATGGAATGACCCTCAAAAGAACTATTCAACCATCAAAAAAGAAATTTTATCAATAGCACTATCTTTTTCAAAATTTCAAAATGATTTAATCAATAAAGAACGTATTCTCAAAACTGATTGTAAAGTATCAAAAGAAGTTTTGCAAAAAGACGTCAAAAATCTTGTTTCAAAACAAATTTTTTTACTTGATGGCAAGCTATTTTGTCTTGTTTTAATTTCAAAATACTATATATACAAAAAAAATCAAACTATCTTGTAGATTTCCTTATAAAAGAATTCATACAATCTTGAGAGAAAAGAGAGATGGACTTTTCAAAACTTTTAAAAAACTTTTCAAATTTCACAAGGATAATCTAGATGATATTCTTACTATTTATTATCAAAGAAGTAACAAGGATATTATTAGATGTCTTATGAATACTACTGAAATTTTTGACAGTAGTGACAAAATAATCAAAAACTTCAAGAAAGATGAAAAACCTCAATATTCTTCAAAAGAATTATCGTTCAATAACTCATTATTCTTAAAGAAGAATAGAAAAAGTTTTATGAAGAAAGTCTTACAACTTCTTGAAAACATTTATTAAAATATTATCAATAGGGATCCAATTTGTTCTCAATCATTCAAAAATATTATATTCAAAATATTTGATAACTTTTATTTTAATGGTCTTGAGACTTGTGAAAGTTATCATAAACTTCATTTTACTCTCAAAGGTATTTCAATCATTAATGTTATTAATGAAGAAATTCGTCAAATGATTGAATGTGGGTTTATTTCCTTAATTTATATTGATTCAAAAACTGATATTTCACTTTTCAATAGCTCTCTTAAAAGAGTTATTATCTTTTTGAATTCAAAGTAAAAATTCTCAAAATTGAATTCTCGACCATTCTTTCCGAATGGATTGTTGAAGAAGACAAATTCAATGATACACTCTTTACTGAAGAGATTTTCCAGTAAAACAAATTGTCACTATCTGAAGTACTTTGTCTGGAAATCATCCAATGCCAAATTCAAATATATCATCAAAATTTTACAGTTCTGAAGACAGATATTATTTTCAAAAATCATGTAAGAGAAATTCTTACAAAAATAGATCAAAATCTATTATTTTTGTAAAGAAAAAGCTAGGAGAAAATATTGACAATTCAAGATTGCAATTGATGTTTCATGATGAGTATTTTGCCATTTTTACTAATGAATAAAAATGGGTTCAAACTCAAGTTCCTTTAATTCGAAAAACATTCAATGATGAAATATCAATGTCTCAACACTATTTTGATGAAGTGGTCTATCAAAACGAGGAACCTTTTCAAGAACCCGACTTCAATTATGATGATGAAGAATCATTTAATATCAATAATCTGCTCGAAGGATAATGAGTTTCAATCAAAGAATAAAGTCAAAAGTGGATGTCGATCAAAGTGACAAATTTATCAATCAAAGGGGACAAATTTTAAAGTTGATGCCAACTTTTCAAAAAGAAGACAATTATTCAAAATGTGCAATTATTCAAGATTCATTCTCCAAATTGAAGAAATTTTTCAAGTTCAAAACTCAAGAATTCAAGTATAAAAGGAGATCAAGTATTTAATATCTCCTCAGAGTTGATTTAGTGGGGGATAAATTATTCTCAAAATAGTTTAAGAAATCTTTGTATTTTTTTACTACCTTTATTTCCATATTACAATTTCAAAGTTCATTTCAATATTGTAATTTCAGAAGTTTGATCAATAAAATTATCTCCATTGCAATATAACCCTAACATTATCAAATGTGGACGCTCTACTAAACATGCTGATTCAATAGTTATTCAAGCAATCAAAGGAAAGAATAAATTCGTGTAGAAGTAAGTATCTTTTTTTGTTTATAGAATATGAAATTTCCCCCCTCTTCCTCTTCCATTTTATTTATCTTATGCCAATGTTGGTAAAACACACGTACGCTTAAATATAAAATTGTAGATAGAACCCATTGAAAAATAACTCTGTATTTGACGATCTCATTAGAAATCAATGCCTTGTAGACTACAGATTCGTCTATAACTTGGACTTTAATTCATTGAATGCATTGGAGATTTTCAAACCCCATTGATTGAAGGGGAATTTTAGGAAGAGAGTTTTTCGACCAAAGCACCAATTTTCTCTTAATTTTAGAATTGTGTTTTGAGAGGAAATCCAAAATACTTTACCCGTCTCATAACGATAAGCTTGCTTCCATTTTCACACAAATTTAAAAATATAATTAATATAATTGCAAATATAAAACTTACTTGTATTTTTCTTAATACACCCTACATTAGTAATTGGTTAAATTTGAGGATTTTTGGGTTAGTATAGATGAAATGATGCATGTAAGCAATAGGTGGGATGAGGTGGATATACAAAAAAAAAAAAAACCAATATTTGAAATTGAAATTGAAAGGTAACATTCGAGTAATTTTCTCTAATTAACATTATTTTCATAAACCCCTTCTCTTTAACTTATATATAATTAAAATCATATACCTCCAAATCCCAGTCATGGAGAGAATGATGATTAGTATAATAATTGCAAATGTGTGTTTTGAAATAATAGATGTGGTTTTGGTATTGGGGTAGGTACAATTTTATATTCTCCAATAAGAACCGGGCGGCAAGACTTAACTGTATAAAACCTTGGGAGTTGAATCTAATAAAGTAAAATTCAATCATGAAAGACTGCCAAAAAAGTTTCCATAATCCAAGATATCGTTCAACAAACCTTATCACAACAGAGTGCATGTGAATAAAAGTCACTTATGGTACAAGATGTCGTAGTGACCAGGTCGGTAAAGCATGGTAATAAACGGTTTCAATGTCTCTGAACCCCCGTCGTTACCATTGGTTAGATCCCCTCTTGTAGAAGGAATGAAATCGTGATGGTTTACAATCACATTGCCGTTGTCACAAGAACTTCTGTCAAGATAAACTACACGGATTGGAACACCCAGTGCTTCGGACAAGGCTGTTATATGCACATGGTCACTCTCTTCACCCATAGGCTCCACCATCGACTTGCAAAACTACACAAAAACCAAATATAAAGGTCATTCTCGTAAATTTTTTGGAGAATTAATTTGGAAGGATCTTCTTGCATTAGCGCGTGCATACAACATGATATGAACCTTCTAGCTAGCTACTTACCTGTTCCACTGAGGTATTTGTTAACCCTTGTATAAATGGTTCATAGAACTCTGAGCGCTTCCTTATTTCCCCGGATGCAACAAATCTGAAGAACATTACGACTGACCCACAAATTTGGTTAATAGAAAATAATAAATTACACTACATATTTCATATAGTTGATGGAATAAAAATGTTTCACTATGCCAATCACCATAGTCAGACAGCGACTGCTCCCTACTTCTCTGCACGAGTTCATCATGGCTGCATGCAATGGTAATAGTACTAGTTATGGTGTTTTAAATATACCTCTGATGAGATGGAAGAAGATTATTTGCAGGTAACAATAGTAAATAACATGAGAAAATAACTGAATTTTCCAAACCTTATAGAACCTTCACTCCCCTGAAAAACATTTTCAAGTTGCTCAAGGAATAGCTGAAAATATGTAGATAAAATCAGAACGATGAGCTTTAGACAGTTAAATCAATACGGAATAAAACCAAAGGGAAATTCAATTTATGTCATTTAACATATCTCCACAATCATTTTTGGTCTCTCTCTCTCTAAAATGAGCCTCAAATATTCTGCTTTCGAACTAAGAATCTTTACTACTGAAGGCAAAACCAGACACATCCCAAATATCCCTGCCTATAACATTAATATTAGCAGCAAAGACAACATGCCTCAGAGTGCATCAACTAATAGTGGTTTTGCATTTACAGACATCACAAGCTTATCAACAAGGAAACCCAAAGTACTGCAATTTTGAACATTTCTGATGTAAGATAGCATGCGATATGAGAAATGTTTAGAATGTGGTTTATTTCTGTAGTGATCCTGAACATTACTATTACTTTCTTAATACAGTGTCCAGAAATATATAGACGAGATGTTCTAATAATAAACCAATACTTGACATACATAGGTCAATGTGAAAAGATAAAAAATATTGTTCAACTTAATGAATACCGCAAAGAAATCTTCAAAAGTAAATTCTGCAAAGCCCAAGCTAAGAAGTGTCTTTCTGCATTGCTCCACACTGACAGTGATGCGGTCAGCTTCTGCTCGATCTTGCGATTCCAGAATATGTTCCTTAATTTTTGGTAAAAAACTATATCAATAGCTAGTTAAAATGGAATATGACTTTAATACGAATCTATACAAGGTCAAAGATATTGTGGAACATTTTCAAAATGTAACCAATGAAATATACAAGGTAAGCAAACATGAAGCTGCGAAAGAAACAATTCCCATCTCCTCGAGTTCGCCTGATGGCAGCATATTGCTTGATCAGCACCTGAGTAAGTTTCAACAATAATTAGCAACCCAGGAGAAGCATCCGTAGAAACCATTTCACAAGATAACTGTACACCTCGATTTTCTCCAGTAAAATGGCATTTCCCGATTTGTACTCAACAGCTAATGATGAAAGAGGTTCCTGAACATGTAATCATTTACAGTAAGTGTTTGCAACATTCAAGAGCTTGTAGAACAGAAATACAATTTTCAAATTCCACATGGACCACATGCTAAACATTTGAAGAACCAATAATTCAACAAAAGGATGTGATTTCGCAATCCCAAATCCTAGGCTAAAAGAAAAGTGGTTGGTTACATAAATGACATGTCTGCTGCTGCAAACTGAAAATTGAATGCTAAAGCAGTTGATAAATTCTTCTAAAATAAGTCAAGCAGCAAATTTAACTATTCATCCAAACTATTCTTATTTGATGTGCATAAACAGGCTTGAATGTATCCAACAAACACGAGGTAAATGTGGTAATCATGTCATGAGAACAGTTGTAACAATGTCTCAGGCAGGTAGCATCAAGAAGAAGGAACCAAGGTTACATAAAAACATCCAATGACCATAAATTTTCTACCTGAAATGGAATATTATATTAAGTGGTAAGTTACACAAAAATTCGAAATGAAGGTCGATTTAAGATCTCAGGAACATAAACATAGTACTTGAACCAGTTATTATCGAAATTGCAACCCACTCCATATATAATCTTATCTGCAAAAATGCTTAATTTTTTCAAGACTCAGGAGTTCTCTTGCCTTATCACCAACAAATGGAATTTTCTCGGCTTCCTCAGCCTGGATGGCAGATTGCTGCAGCATAATATCATCATCCTTGAAATTTTCCCATTCATCAATTTCAGATGTTTGAATGGATGTCAAGGTCACCGTGTCTGCATCTACTGCATTCCCTTCCTGATTCTGCATACTCGTTCTAGTAATAAAAGAAAATTTACAGAAGTTAATTCAGTATTCAAATTTTGTTTATGACTTGTTTAGCTGCTTTTTATATCCTGAAAACAGCTTGTACCTCACGAAAGAAAAATTGTCGTTACTTGCAAGATGAAGATAATAATAGAATCAAAAGAAAAAGGGTAGCAATTGCTATAGTATCTGTAACACATTAGCAGGAAGCAAAGCAGGTCTGCTACAAAACCTACTGGCCAGAAAGTCCTTCAAAGTTGCTGATACTTAAATAATTCCATATACTTATAAAATAAATGCAGAACTAAATTTATGTGCAGGACAATAAACTCACTTGAAGTTAAATAAATGTGCTGCAAAGAAAAAAGTATTAGGACTCCACATTCTTGGTATTCTTATCTGCAAAACTTAACTAACATGGGCAACCGATATCGAAATAAGTGAAAGGACAAGAAACCTGCTGTTTATATTTATCATATTCCCGCATATAAATAAATATCACAAATGTGCCTTTTCACTAGATAAATCACAACCTTAAGTGCAAGTCCTATTTCAGATTGCTATAGTATGTAACATATTAGCAGTAAGCAAGGCAGGGCTGCAATAAAGCCTACTGGCCAGAAAAAGTCCTTCAAAGTTGCTGATACTTGAATTCAGGACAATAAAGTCACTTGAAGATACATAAATGTGCCACAGGGAAAAAAGTATTATGACTCCACATTCTCGGTATTCTGATTCGCAAAACTTTGCTAACATGGGCAACCAATATCGAAACAAGTGAAAGGACAAGAAACCTGATGTTTATATTTATCATATTCCCGCACATAAATATCACAAATGTGCCTTTTCACTAGATAAAATCACAACCTTTAGCGCAATTCCTATTTCAGATTGTTCTATCAAGACGCCATTTGGCAATCCATTTCAGAGGAGTGCGAGTGCAATTATAGAAAATGCCCTAAAATTCTAAATTCAAGAAAATGTTGTAGGCATTGGAATTTACTTGAATTGATCACATAAAGATCGATTGCAACTAATCGCTTAATAGACTGCGAAAATTAATAGACGTAGAATTGAAAAAACGTAAATTTACTCGCAGAAGAAACAGTTGATTGTACACACACACGGGTTAGAAAGCCAAGAATCGGAATCAAACAACCTGCAAGAAGAATAAAGAAAATAATAAAAGATACTGTACAGACCAAGACGTAGAAGAAAGTATATCGGATCTTTGAGTCTGACGACGAGATTATCGATCTACAATATCCTGTGAGCAACAGCAGATACCTTAGGGCGAGGCCGAGAGAGATTAAATAAACCTCCTTAATGACAATTCCAAGAGATACCTCCCTATGTTTCAATAATTACAGAAACCTCCCTAATAAATTTTATAACACTACCCAGTCCATTGGTACGAATTAAAATTTGATTTTAATTTAAGTTAAATTCAAATTATCAATATTAATCATATTTTAATGAGACTCACAAATTTTCAATCACACATTTCAAAAACTTCTATCACAATCCATTAAAAAAAATTAATTTTAATCCCTACCAGACATCCTTATATAGGTTGATTAACAAAAAACGAATGAAAATCATATATTTGGATAAATTACGCCAATTTCTTAAAGCTTAGAAATACAATCATTCAGAATAAATCTTCGACAAAAAGTTGCAAATGGAATGAGAAGTTGGAAATATTTGCTATTTTTTACCTGCTTAATAATTGTACAATTATGGTTTTGTTCTATTTTGCAATGATTTGGCCATGTTTGTTTCTTATTCATTTCTATTAAAATGGAAAATATGAACGTTATCCATCACATAAAATCACTATATTAGAATTTTTATTTCTTGTATGAGATCCAAATCGATTATATTTTTCATTCTCATTTTACAATAAATGGGAAACAAATGGGGCGTTGATATAATCCTATTATTAGCCTATCTATATTGAGGGGAGAGATTATCAAAAATATAGTGTCCAGAGCTTTGCTAGAAATCTTGGGCTACATAGGCCCAGGACAAATATCATTTTCGTAGTGTCTATGCCCTCGAAGTCATATTGAATTAAATATAGTCTCTACTCATAACAAAAGGTATTTATTGTGGCTTATAATTTACATTAGCTATTCATTTGTTATAAAGGGAACTAATGGCCTATTTGATAGGCTTCTTTTTTTCATGGAAAATTTTTCATTTTCCAGTCAAATGATATGTTTGATGGATAAAATTTCCTATGGAATTTGTTTTCCAATTAACCCCACTTGTGACCACATTTTCTTGGTTTTTAAGGAATTGATTTTTCCAACTTTTTTATTTTTTTGACGATGAAAACAAATTCTATCCTTTTAATTAGTAATTTTCATGAAAAACAAAATCAAACGAATACTAAAATATCGAAAATTTCAATATTTTTCAGGTGAAAAATTGTATAAATCAAATACATTTAATTGACAATTCCCCGTAAAACAAGTTTTAAGCAATTCAATTCCCTAAAATTTGTTTTCTTTCCACCAAAATTCCATCTTTCAATCAAGCAGACCTTAAGTTATTGCAAGGCCACAAACTTAAGTTGTGGTGGCAATTCATTCACCCTTCAACTTAACTTCCACAATAGTTCATAAGTAACCACCAATGTTTTGAAAATCGATCTGGACATCGACTAGATACTTCCAATATTAAAAATCAATATGTTAAAATTGTTTGCTTTGTTAAATTGAATAGTTTAAAAAATATAGAAACTGATATCTAACATAATTATGTCAATAATCAAGTGCAAGTTAAGATAAGTTTGAAAATTAAATAAATAAAAGGACGGAGGTCACTATTACAATTTAGTTGGTATTCAAAATCAAATTAATTAATTAGACATACATTTGAAAAATGATTTTGATGGTCATTTTAACATTTTTTTTGCTATACTGCTATACCATATTGGAAGTTTATGAAACTATTTGAAAGAAGTGCATTTATAAAAGTAGTATGCTATTCAATATTCCTTTATAAGCCTTTGATTGTAGTGCATGAAGCCCATTCATTAAGTTAAAAACTTTTTAAATTAAAATCGAAAAAATGCAAAATTGCAAAACTGCCATGGGTTTACCAGTTTATTGTAACCGTGCTTTTGTGATATTATGCTTATTGACTCTTGTGGATGGATTCTTTTTGGGTGATCATAGGGACAGTTAGAGGTTGTACATCTAGTGGTTATAAAGTGGACCTTTTAAATTCGGATTGTCAATCCCTCAAGGAATGTTTACTTTAGATTATACAATTTTAATTAATTTAATTCTAACAATAAAAATAAACACACCATAAATATTTGATTTCGGAAAATAACTAAAATCTTGGGAATTTCGAAAGTAAACGTGGTCGGGATTAATAGTTTCACTTACCCGTCACTTAATTAATTTTTCTAAAAGTCAATTAATAAATTACTTATTTACGATGTTAGACCCAATTTTTCAATTTTAGTTAATTACATCTCTCGGGTGAAATTAACCTTAATTGATTGGTTAAATATACTATTTCTCCATCTCGATTAAAGCCAAACAATCGCATTAAATTGTAGTAAAAATAACTCATTTGGTCACCTAGGGTTAGGAGTATATCTCTATCCCCTACACAAGCCTAGGGTTTCTAATATTTTGTCCAAAAGACATAATTTTCTCTCGAACGATGTACAAATCACTAAACACAATTGGTCACATAAATGACAATGCAATAATAACAATAGTAAAAACACTTGAAAATAAGTATTTTAATATTAAAAAGCAAATATTAAAATTAATTAAAGTTAGGTTAAACTAATACTATAAATCCTAACACAATAACTTCAGCCCATGTTATATATATATATATATATATATATATATGGCAAATAGAATATAATAATGAAGGAAAAAAAGAGATTCAAGGCACAACCCCTCCTTGGTTATATTTGTGAAGATAATGGCTAACACTTGATTTCTCCAACCCTTTGATTAATTCTCCTTTATGTGCTCTATGGTTTTACCCAAAATACCAAGAAAAAGGAACGAAAAATAAAAGAAAAAGAAAAGAAAAGAAAGAAAAAGGAAAAGAAAATGAAAAGTGGAAGCAGAAGCCAAAAAAGGGCAGGAAGAAACCCCAATTGCTGGTTTTAAAATTTAAACTTAGAGAAATTACACCTTTGGTCCTTAAAGTTTCAAAAAGCTTGCAAAAAGGTCCCCCCTTTTAAAATGGTGCCATGGCTTCGGAATAGTGGCTGTGGCGCCTAGCTGCTGGAACTCTATCCCAAGCCAAGAAAAAAATGATTTAGTGTCATTTTGCAACTAAGTCCCTTAAATAATTACATGCCAGGTCCCTCAACTTTGATATTATACAATTTAGTCCTCAAATTTTGACTTTTCTTTGAATTACACCTTCCAAAATTTTATCTCTAGGTCCTTGAATTTTTGGCACTTATGCATTTTGGTCCCCAACTCCACAATTTTGCACTCTTTTGCGCTTCATTTTACCTTGTTATTTTATCTTTTGGGGTTTATGACTTACAAAAGTCAAAATTACGCAATTGTGTCGATATCCGTTCCTTTAATCAATAATTAGTTTGTCAAAATATCTAATAAGTATGCAAAAACACACTTATCATGATGCATTTTAGCATGATGTTTTAAAGAAATGACATGACGACATAAACTCATATTAAAAAAAAAAAAAGGGTTGAACCCCAAATGCTTGAAAGTCCAAGTTATCTATAGCAAGAGTATCTGCAACCTGATTTCGCTCTCTGTAGACGTGTGAAATTGTGTCTCCGTTGAAGGATATGATGTTTGTGATCTGTCTGAGTCTACCTTGAATAGTCCATGATCCTTTGTCTCTAGTGATACAGTGGATGGTCGCAGTAGAATCTGATTCTATCCAAATGCCTGAAAGTCCAAGTTATCTGGCCAATAGAATCCCATCTAGTACAACTCTAATCTCAGCCTCCAGAATCAAACATGGGCCCTACTATGTTGAGAATGTACTGATGCAGCATCTAGTGTGATCCCTAGTAATGTCTCTACCACTCGTAAATCCATCCTTGACGCATCCATTGGTGTTGAACTTATATGATCCCATTGATGGAGTGTGCCAAATGACCATAATAGGTGGTGGTGGGGAAGGGAGAGTCATAGAAATGCCTAAGAGTGATGCAAGTGTCAAATCGCCTCCCTAATGCATAGCTCTAAAAAGTCCTCCCATATGAAGAAAAGAAATGGTATGGTAGACCCTCCAAATGATAAGTCTAGTCACCACGCAAATTTTCCTATGCTTCGTATTATTCCTTTTGGTCCATAAAAACTACAATATCAGTAGAGGGATGAAAGTGCGAATGTGTTCCTCGCTAACGTACTATCCAGAGTATCACTATCTCTGGAACCTCTGTGTGACCCCCTCTCTTGAACTCATAGGTATTTGAAAAATGTCCCCAAAGTGCTGCCATACCTGAACAGAGATGTTGCTGCCAGTGAAATATGACCGATGGTCTCAATCTCAGAGCAACACTAGCATTGAAAAGCCAACTGACATCTAATCCTCCTTTGAATAACCACATCTACTAGAATGAGATCCTTCCACAGTCTTCAGTATTAAAAATGAGACAGTGGTAGGTAAAATAGAGCTCTACAGTAATCGTCCTAAAATCAGCAAGCGGAACGAATTAGCTGTTATGCTGATTTGGTAGTAAAACTGACATCTGATGTAACCCTCCAAACAATGTGGTTCGGGGCATCTGCACATAAAGGTATCGCCCCTATCTGCTCTGCCATGTAAGGAGAAGAGCCTGTAATAATTGTTTAAAGTCCCACCCAATTTCATCAAAAAAATCTTGCACCCTCGTAGATGTGTGCTACCTATGTGGGAATAGAGATGCTAACGTGGACTCGCCTATCTAACAATCATGCTAAAAGAAAATTTGACTGACTCCAAGGTGCCAAGTAATGTGTGGTTCTGTTTGTAGCCCTACTGACTTCAACCTCTTCCAAGTGAAGGGTGTGTTCCTATGCAATACTTGCAATACTATGAGAGTGGAACACACTAGAGCTTCATAGAGAAGGCATTTACCACATCTTGTAATCTTCTGAAGCCTAGACTACCCTCATTAGTAGGAATGCAAATCTCCTTCCAACTCCTCCAAAGTAAATGTCGATCCCGATCCTTAGAATTCCGCAGGAATCTTGTAAAGATGCTCTTAAGTTTCTTCAAGATAGCTTTTGGGGGCTGCATGATTTGAAGAAGATATAATAGCATGGAAGAAAACACCGATCTCAATAAAGTAATGCAGCCCCCAGGTGACAATAATCGTAAAGCCCAGCCTGAGATCCTGTCCCTAACCTTTTGGATAAGGTCATCAT